GGATTTAGGACATTTAGGATACTTTAGGACTTGAAAATACTTTATCCCGAATCATTAGCTACGACCTCCAAAACAATTATAAAGAATCTGACCAAATAAACGGAAAAGGTAGTACCAACAACCGCCCAATGAAACGATCGGTCAAAAACGAATCATTGAGGACAAATCATTTACACTCGGACTTGCCCCACGAGCGGCCACATCATTCTCATATCGTCCCAAGTGGCGGGGACTATTCCGCTTAAACTCAATATACACGAATTGGAGCTACGGAAAACTTCCAAAACGATCATAGAGTCTGACCAAAATAAGCGAACAAAGTAATACCAACAACCGCCCAATGAAACGATTGGTCAAAAACGAATCATTGAGAACAGATCATTTACACTCGGACCTGCTCCACGAGCGGCCACATCATTCTCATATTGTCCCAAGTGGCGGGGACTATTCCGTTTAAACGGACAACAAAAGTAAAGAATGTAAGTAAAGTGGAAGGTGGAAGATAAAAGTAAAGTGGAAGGTGGAGGTGAAAGGTGGAAAATGAAAGTAAAGTGAAAGGTGGAGGTGAAAGTGGAAGGTGGAGGTGAAAGATGGAAGATGAAAGTAAAGTGAAAAATGGAGGTGAAAGGTGGAAGATGAAAGTAAAGTGAAAAATGGAGGTGAAAGGTGGAAGATGGAAATAAAGTGGAAGGTGGAGGTGAAAGTAAAGTGAAAGGTGGAGGTGAAAGTAAAGTGAACTTCTTATATATATATTGTAACGATCTTCTGTGTTATGATTAAACTTCCGTGTTATGATTAAATGACGCGCGTTTTCTGTGTTATCTGTGCCATGTTATTTCCTTTTCGAGAATTGTTTATACCAAGTAGTTTTCCTAATATGGGTTTAATCTCTAATATAAGCCACAAGCCACAAATCAATCCTAATTTGGTGGCATAAACAAAAGGAGTACATCTATATACACACCGCCAAATTTGGGGAGAAACAAACCAGTAAATTTTTAATCAACACAGAAAAACAAATCTGAAGCGCGAACGAAAAATGGATGCTTAAATCTATCTTGGAGCACTATTAAAAAACGTTGGGAAGACAATTTTACATGTAAATTTTGTTCTCCACTCTAACCTAACCCTAACCCTAATCTTTAATTGGAATACCCATATGATCACGTGGATACAACGAAAACTGGTGACTTATTATTTTCACATCTTAATTCTCACACTCTTTATTCTTTATTTTCATACCGTTTACATATACAGAGGTTTTTCTTGTATTTGATGTCCGTTTTTTTTTACTAACTCAACTTAGAGTTCAAGAGCAGTTATCTCTTTGTTATGGTCTAGCCACTAGGTGGTAACCTTCCCGTCTTTGGGCTGTTTGTGATGAGGGTTCGATTCCTTCCTAGCCGTGCTGCCTTTGGTCAGTCATTTGCCAATCTGAGAGAGTTTCCTTTGTCATTCCTTTGGCTTAGCTCAGTGTGAATATCCCTCGCTGTCGGCTTTAAACTTTAGCGTATCAGTAGTTGTTGGGGGTTCGATTCCCTCCCTACGTATAGCCCTCGCTGTCGGCTATAACCTTTAGCGCGAAATTTTCAGTGCAATTGTTCAGGGCGATTACATCATGCTTTTAAGAGCTAATAGATTCAATCCTATAAATTACCTTGCTTCGGGTTATCTGTGATTTAGCCATGGGTACGTGAGTGCCGAGGCCCGCGAAAACTTCGTAAGTGCAGGAAAATTCTAAATCACTGCCAGAAGTCAGTAATCGGGTACAGTGCCCTTCAGGTAAGGGGGGATGGCAATTCAGCCTTCGGACTCTTAATTCTGAGTACCCCTGATGAGATTCAAACCTAGGGGAAGTGATCGGGTAGAGTTTAATCCTCTATAGACAGGGTTGTTTTGGAACCACTCTTAATTCAACTCGGACGTATGATTTATAATTCTCTTCTCGTGGATTGGTCCTTTTGGGAAACTCTTCTGAAGACTAGTTATTCTGGTCTAATATTCATTATGCGTTCATTTATATGTTCGTTATTATATTTTCTGATGGTACAGACTATTTCTGGCCAAATGATGTTCAGCCACCACAGGAACTTGTGTGGATAATCTCATTTTGAGATGAAGGTTCGATTCCTTCCAAGATCAGGCTACTGATTTTATAGGCTGACACATTCCGAATAAATATGAGCGTTTGGTCCGGGTTTTCGTCAACGTCTTGGTCTGGTTGTGTTCAGCGATTAGTGTATTATTGTCGTTTCTCCCTCCTTGTATCCGGGAAATCAAAGAGCATGTATGGGTTAATACTTCAAAGACCTCTTGGATGACCAACTCGTACTACAACAAAAAACGGAAACAGGAACTTCAACTGTTGCTCGTATTTACAAAATCCGCGTCATCATCATCAACAATAACAACCGAAATACGTTCTTCAAGAAAGCCTACTCTGATATTGCTAATCACTTCAGAATAGGAACGCCACTTTAAAGAAAAAATCCTTCAGACACTACAACACAACATTGTAGCAGAATTATGCATTAACACATGAGTGTGCTTTCATACAGGTTGCGAAACTTCCTTCGACCATTATAAATTCATGGACTATACAGAGCATGTGTAAATATGCTGACCATTAACACGGGAAAACGCATGCATTTTGGAATCTGAAAAAGATTCCCATTAATACATGTACATGTATTGACGTTGAAGATGTACGAAAGAATATCCAAACACAGCGTAAGTTTTCTCGTTAACAACAATGGAGTCTCGGCGTTTTAAAATATTGTATATTATTTTAATTTTTTAACAAAAACAATCTTTCAAAGAGCATAAAACGTCCTTGCTAGAAGAATCAAGTAAAAGAGGAAAGATGTCATCAATCAAGACGAAAAGAATGGTCAAGGTTGATATAGACATTATCGTTATGCCAAATCTTCTAAGTACATGTACAGAACTCGAAAAAGTAACACCCGATTCAAATCAAAATGAAAATTTCAATACATATCCGCTTTATTTTACTTCTAGCAATTTATACATTAAATATTTAGTCGGCTCTCCATTTTGATACTGTATCAATCCTTCTTGGCATTGAGGCAATAACCTCTTCAAAAAAAAAAACATCAAGTTTCTCCCATTCCTCCGCTAGCGGCATTTATAGAGAGTAAATAATTAGAGACCTTATAAGTTTGAGACTGCGCCATTGCGTGCATTTAGGGAGGGTGTATATAGAGGGTACATTTAGGAAAGTTCCTCTGTATCATTACCAGAGGGAAGACTATTTTTTTTGTCCACGAACCAAGTCAAAAGCAACAATTAATTGCAAAGAATTTTTCCTTAACGATAATACACACCCCTACAATATATTACCGGAAATCTCAAAAATGGATTTGTCACTTTGAAACCCGATATCTTGACATCCAG